CATCCATTTCCCTGCAAATGCCATTATTTTGTCATTTCTAATGGCTGCATAATATTCCATTGTGTATAGATACCACAATTTTTGGATCCATTCATCTGTCGTGGGGCATCTGAGTTGTTTCCATATCCTAGCTATTGTGAACAGTGCTGCAGTAAACATGGAGGTGCACGTGTCCTTGTATATTGGTTCCTGTTGTTCAGGGTAGATGCCTAGAAATGGTCAACATGATAGATTTTTAAAAAATTTCATCTTACATTTTCATAGTGTTTTAAGTCAATTTCATTTAGAGAGAGAGAGTGTGTGTGTGTGGAGAGAGAGAGAGATACAGGCTGTATTTTTACCATTATGTGTGGGGGGGTATTGTTATTTTATCTATAGGCTGACAAAGATGAACAAATCAGAAAAATAAAATCTAGGCACAGTGATGAACTAACTGCACTGTTGGGGTATTTTCCTAACAAAAAACAACTTGAAGACTGGCTTCATAGTAAATCAAAGGAAATTAATCAGACCAGGGACAGACTTGCCAAATTGAAGTAAGTAGTTACACTGTTACCATGGTAAAGGAAATGTTACTTTATGTTTTCTTTGTAGCCTTAATTATGTTTAAGGTAGTTCATTGTACATATATGCATACAGTGAGCCTTCATCCGAGTCACCCCATCCGTCACTCCCTCATCCATCCTTCCCAAACCGATCTCAATAAACATTACTGTATTTCCCACGTTCATAAAATATTTTGACCATATTCACCCTCTTTCACCTTTTCTCTTTGACCTCTGTTCTGTTTCTCTTCCACAAGTACTCATACCCCAGATAGTATGTTTCACCTTTTATTGTTGTTAGAATTTATATTAATCAAAGGGGCTTTATTGTGGCATTTCATATATGTATGTGCCATAGTTTAATCAGATTGATTCTCCTGTACTCTCACTTTCCCTAACTCCTTACCCCAAATGTTTGTTTTTTGCCATCACCATAGATTCATATGTGTTTTATTTTTAATTGGTTTGAAACAAGTTTCTTTTGTGAAATATTGTCTTATTATTGACCTATTGTTTGCATTTTAAGTTAAATTGTAATTAGTAAGTGGTGGAGCCTCCTAGCCCTTAAAAGTTTGTAGATTTAAGATGTTTAATTTTTTTTAAATTTTCGTGACTAAAGTATTTAAAATGTGATTAGTATATTCAGAGGTTGACTTAAACTAATGGTTTTTGTCTAAAAATTTCAGATTTTGAAAAGGATAGTGGATTTGACTATGGCTGCTTTAAATTTGTGGGGGTATTTTTGTTTTTGTGTTTTGAGACCACACCTAAAGGTGCTGGTGGCTCACATCTGTAACCCTAGCTATACTCAAGAGGCTAAGATCTGAAGATCCCAGTTCAAAGCCAGCCTGGGCAGGAAAGTCTGTGATACTCTGATCTCCAGTTAACCACAAAAATTCAGAAGTGCAACTGTGGCTCAAGTGGCAGAGCAGTAGCTTTGGGCAAAAATACTCAGGGAACAGCTTCCAGGCCATGAGTTCAAGCCCCAGGACTGGGGCATCCTATTTTTTTGACATTTGTTTGATTATAGTTGTTTGTTTGTCACCATCTCCAGCTCAGATTTGTTTCTTGCAGGAAAATCTGTTTTTGTTTTTGTCAGTTGCAAGACCTGAACTTGGGGCCTGAGCACTGTCTCTGGGCTTTCTTGCTCAAGGCTAGCTACCACTTTGAGCCACGGAGCCAAGTCTGATTTTTCAAGGCGAGTGCTCTTACCACTTGAGCCACAGCATCACTTTCGGGTATTCTGGTGCTTAATTGGAGATTAGAGTCTCACCAGGACTTTTCTTCCCAGACTGGCCACAAATCTATCTTCAGATTTCAGCTTCCTGAGTAACTAGGAGTATAGGCATGTGCCACTGGTGCTTGGCTGGAAGACTTTTTAGGAAATACAGTATTAGAGTTTGAAGTTCAAGAAACTGGGAGTTACATAAGGGAAATTTAGTCATTATTATATGTCATGTCACTTTGAGAGTCACACAGAGAAGAGAAAGGAGTTAGACTCCTTGGAGTCACTAATGTTAAACATATTGGCAATCTGGGAGTAGGTCAGGAGGAGGATTGGTAGTTAGTATCCAGGGGTACCTTATGGTTGGAAGTGTAGAGTATTGCAGTGACTTCTAAAGAAAGTATTTGGAGGACTGGGATGTGGCTCAAGGGCTCTGTTAGCAGAAAGTATCTAATTCTCAGTACCACTGAAAGGAAGGCAGGAAGTCAGAAAGCAGGGAAGGAAAATTAATGACTGAATGAATTTGAGCTGGGGTTAAAGCTCAGTGGTATAGTAATATGATTATCATGCTTGAAGCCCTTAGTGTAATCCCCAGAAAACAGACATACAGATTTAGAAGAGTATCTGGTCAGATCAAATCCTTAGGATTTGTTGACAGAATTTCTCTTTTATTTGCCTACTCAAATTTATCTTAGGTTTTAAAATACCCATGTTTCTTTTTATTATAGCAAGGAACTAGCATCAGCTGAGCAAAATAAAAATCATATAAGTAATGAACTAAAAAGAAAAGAAGAGAAGTTGTGCAGTTATGAAGACAAGATGTTTGATGTTTGTGGTAGCCAAGATTTTGAAAGTGATTTAGACAGGCTTAAAGAGGAAATTGAAAAATCCTCCAAACAGCGAGGTAAGTTGCATTATCAAGAATTTTGACTCTTGAATTTCATTCACACGTAACTGTTAATGGGAGATTTTAAAACCTTGTTATAAAATGCAACTATATGGCTTGTGTTCACTTTGTAGTTGTGTAACATAGTGTTTCTAGGCAATTATTGAAACTTCCTCTATAAAATGAAAACAACTGCCAACCAGGTATTAAAGAGAGGCAAATGATATTTTATGTGTGTTTTTTGAAAACAGTGTCTAGATATAAAAAGCTCTCAATAAATGTCATGTTACACTTTCTGTATGTTATCAAAAAACAATTTTACAAATCTGAATATCATGCTCTTTCCTTTGGATGACTTAAATATCAGATGATTTTATTTGTAATATATTTATAAAACAAGAATATATTGTTTGTGGAAGAAAATGTATGTTTTTGTGACTGGAAGTTTTATTTTCTTAAAATAGCCATGCTGGCTGGAGCCACAGCAGTTTATTCCCAGTTCATTACTCAGCTGACAGATGAAAACCAGTCCTGCTGCCCTGTCTGTCAGAGAGTTTTTCAGACAGAGGCTGAACTACAAGATGTCATTAGTGATTTGCAGTCTAAGTTGCGACTTGCTCCAGATAAACTCAAGTCAACGGAATCAGAACTGAAGAAGAAAGAACGGCGTCGTGATGAAATGCTGGGGCTTGTGCCCATGAGGTAAGACTGGGGTTTCTGAAGTGCTCTGTGTGTGCGCGTGCGCCTGAGACTTGCTTTGAGGGCATAAATTATGACAGATTTAGAATTGTTCTTGATATGTTTTCTAAATTCAACAAATGTATGAAAAAAACTCTTCCAAAAGCATTTAAAAATATTTTTATGTCTTTCCTACTTCTAAAAAAAAATGAGATAAGATGTGCTGCTTTGTGGCAGCCAGCCTCTTGTAGTCTCCTGGTAGTCCTGCCTCCTGGTGTTCACATAGTTGTTTTAGCAGTGGTTTGTGTAACTTCAAATAGAACAGAAGGGCTGGGAATGTGGCTTAGTGGTAGGGTGCTTGGCTAATATGCATGAAGCCCTGGGTTGGATTCCTCAGTACCACATACACAGAAAAAGCCAGAAGTGACTCTGTGGCTCAAGTGGCAGAGGTGCTAGCACAGAGAATCTTAGGGACAGTGCCCAGGCCCTGAGTTCAAGCCCAGGACTGGCAAAAAATGAAATAAAAAATAGGACAGAAGTGATTGCATGTCCTGTCCAAGATTAAGAAACCTTAGTATGCCATACTCTGAGCAATCCTGTGGAGAGTTTCATATAGGGAGGACCTGAGGCCTTTGAACAAGTGAGCTTGGAAGCAGGTTTCATAGTCTTGAGATGACCTCAACCTCATTTGACAGCTGGACTGAAACTTCGTGAGAGATCTAGTGTCAGCGCACATCTCCAAATCTTAGTATCTGTGAGAAATAGTGCTTTCGTTCAAAGTTGTTTTGGGGTATCTTGTTATACAATAGATAACTAGTAAAAAGCATCAAGTAAAAATAAGATTATTGGGGCCACAGAGACTATGATGAGGAGATAGAGCAGCAGCTTGATAGTGGGGGGAAAAAGAGTAAGGTAATATCTTGAAAAGAAAAAGATCAAATCAAAGCTTATACTTGAAGTTGACAGTGTACACAGAAGAGTCCTCAAGTTTTTGGTTGTCATCTCTGTATCCTGCAGAGAGAGAGAGAAACTTATTTTGGTAGATGTGAACTTAGGACCTTGCTCTTGTTAGGTGAGCACTTTACCACTTGAGCCACCCCCATATACTTTTGCTTTTAATGTTTTTCAGGTACGGTCTTGCTTTTTTTTAATGGGCAGTCTTATAGTTTTAACTCAGGGCTTTGGACTTGCTAAGCAATTACTCTGCCACTTGAGTCTGTCTCCACCATATTTTTGCTTAGGGTCTTGATTTTGCACAGGCTGGCTTGGATTCAGTCCTCGTATTTATAGCTGGGATGACAGGCACACCACATTGTCCCCAGCTTTTTTCTGTTGAGATGGAGTCTTTCAAACTTTTTTCCCCTGGCTGGCCTGAAACTACAATCCCCTATATTCCAGCTTCCCATGTAGCCATGATGACAGGCATACAACCACTGCGCCCAGGCGTTGGTTGGGATGGTGTCTCCTGAACTTTTTGCTTGGGCTAGCCTTGAACTGTAATCTTTCGGTCTTACTCTCCCAAGTAGCCAGGACATCTGGGTTTAGGTTACCCTCAGACTACCATCGTCCTGCTTTCACCTCCCAAGCTACTTCAAGTAGCTGGGATTATAGTCATATGCATCTGACTTATTTTTGTGACAGTCTCACTGATACTACTTGCCTAGGTTAGCATTGAACTATGGTTCTCCTTATGTTTCCCATGTAATAAATGTCACAAAAATGGGAAAACCAAAGAGTCTTAATAGATCTCAGTAGCCAGTTCTCTGGGAGAGATTTCTTGACTTTTTTCTTTTCTTTCTTTTCTTTTTTTTTGATACCAGTACAGGGGCTTGAACTTAGGAGCTCCTGGGTCTTGTCCCTTAGTTTTTTCATTCAAAGCAAGCACTCTCCACTTGAGCTCTAGCTCTACTTGTGGTGTTTTTGTGGATAATTGCAAGTAAAAGTCTCATGGATATTTCTGCCTGGGCTAATTTGAACAGAGATTCTCAGATCTCAGCCTCCTAAGTAGCTAGGATCACAGGCGTGAGCCACTGACACCCAGCTTGCTGTTTTTGAAAGAGAACAATTATTTTAACATTTTAGAGTTCATTATAAAAGAAGACATCAAAACCTATATACCGCAGTGGTGAAGGATATGTGTTTATGAGAATACATGATATGACTCAGCTGTCTCTAATGGCATGTGTGCACAATTTTTAAGCTGCTGCTGTAGCTTGGTTGTTCATCCCACATCCTACACTTAAGCTGGGTTTCTGGGGGATGGCAGCACTTCTCACAGTGGGGCCTATAGCCACTACCCATCTGCACAAACTC